TTTTTTTCGCAGCGGGGTTCGGCCGTTGGTGGCGGTCAAGCGCGACGACATGCAAATGACAGAGTCAGAGGACGTGCAGACGTGAGAGGTGAGATGAGGTGAGGTGAGTACGTGACCGTGCGTGACGATGCAACGGTCTCAAGCTTGAGCAGGCTTTGTCTCTCATCGCTTCGCGTCTTGCAAACACCGCACGCACGTCGAACCTGACGCTCATCAGCATCCTTTATACCTCTACTGCACGTACGACTCTTAACGATCCAATCTCACGAATCAGCGCACGAATATCTTAGCGAGACTCTCAACTCTTGCAAATGCAACGGACAGTCCCAGCTAGCTAGTCAGTCAACTGCGATCTAGACTAGCTCTCTGCTCCTGCCCGCACGACAATCACGCCACTATCAAACGACCACCTAGCTCGCACGATCGAATTCTAGCTCTGGGCTTTTCCGCTTGACAATCACCCAAAGACGCGACGAATCTTTCGCTTTGGCAATCCAGGCGCTCCAGACAGTCGCGCCTGCTAGATTAACGAAACATGTGAGTAGCTGCATTTTATGGAAAGTGCCCATACGGTTGTTTTTTGGTGAGCCAGCTCCGCGTGTCCATGCTTTCGATCGACGTCGTTAGGAGCTCTCCCGTTCGGGGTGCAGCCCCTGTCAGGTCATGTGAAGGCACGTTCCCCTTCGCTGAGCCTTTTTCCGGCCTAGCCATCAAGGTCAAGGTGAACATTGGCGGGAAAGGGCAGCGCACAGAGTGGACATGAATCATCATCTCAACTCCTCTGATGAAGGCAATCATTCTTCGGCCATTCGTATCATATCGGCTCGGCTCACATGAGGTACAAGAGGGTACGTGCCTCATTGTTGGGCGCCTCATTTGGTTACATTGTTGGATGTTGCTGGGTCGGATGCTCATCGTCCGCGCTACGCTGCGATGCTGCATGCGGAATCCAAAGCTGGCTTTCAGCATCAATTTCCCGTTGCCGATCAGAGTGGGAAATTGAAGCGAAAGCTGCTATGAATGGACCATACATTCACGAGTCTGCAATGCGCGCGTCGCCTCACCAACACTTGCCCTGCGCCCCTTCAAGTGCAGCACTTAAGCTCATTGGTGCTGCGCAACAAGATGCTTCGAGAACTTGCACAGCGAACATCCCTCCTTTGCCTGCTCTCCCTTGCGTGGCTTGCCGCATCCTGACATTCACATCGCTGAGACTTTGGGCTGACAAGAACCCTTACCATGATCTCCATCACTGACCGGTAGCAACGACATACTCGGCGTGCTACGTCAGTCTTCTGACTTCGTCAAGAAGAACGAGCAGCTGCGCCCTCGCCCCACACACCTGAGCGCAATCCTCAGCCCGTCAGCACAAGCCCCTGATCCTGCTGCAGCGCTCGAGCCGCTTGACGTAGATAGACTCTTCGAGCCCCGCCCCCCTACTTTAACGCCTACAAAGCCCTCCCGCCCAGACGACCACTCTGCTGCCAACTCTTCATCGCTCTTGGGTCGCGCAGCAACCGATCGCGCATGTCCATCTGAAAGGCCAAGCACGAGCCCAATATCCGCTTCCAGCACCAAATTCAAGGTCATCTTTCCACCTCATTTCGGCATACCTTATTGGTCACGCGACGCAGCGAGAAGCAATCCATCCTAGGAGTCCCACGTTGCGCGTATATTACTCGCCTTTCATCCCGACTCTGCATGAGCCTCAGACCAGGAAGGTAATCTCAATAAACCGCCATCTCGACATTCCCCATATTTGCCCATTCTTTGGACCCCAAAGGCACTGCACCCGTTCGCCATGATGGACGAGAGCTACTTCGCAGGACTACCTGCTCAGGCTTCAAATAGCGGACTGTTTCGACTCTCACCGTCCTCCTACGGCCAAGATCACCACGACTTCCCCTTTCAAAGCACATCCTCATCTGTCCTTCATGGCGACGGTCATCCTCCGTTCATCTTCGACGTTCAAAGCGACACTAAGCATCAGCGAGGGGAGACGTCCGGCAACGCCTTGGCATCCAGCACACCTCTTTTCGTGGGCGAGGATCTGGACGTAGACGACGAAGACGCCCGATTCGACAGTCTAGGCCTCCCCAAACGTAAGAGAGCTCTGCAGCGTCTATCTTTAGCATCTTCGATCGCCAGCTCCGTCCCTTCGACGGCGCCATCAGAGACGGACCTGTCGGAGTACAACGAAGGCGAGGCGGGGGTCAAGGAGCGGAGGACCGTCGATTTCGACGACACGACCGTCGGTCGCAGCTCCAGTCGCTTGCCTGACCTAGTCCACTCTCGCTCAAACTCTACCATGAGAGAAGGTCCGACTGCGACATCCGTCTTTACAGCCTTCAACCTCTCAGATTTCATCTCTGACGGTGCCGCTGGCGAGGACGATTCGGCCTCACCGTCAGCTTCCGCCGCCCCATCGTCGTTTGGTCACGGGATCGTTGAGGACAAACCACTTCACCCTCAATCCTTGACTGCTTCCAGCTTCACTACACCTCAACGTCCTGGCATGCACCGTGACTGGTCGTCCCTGTCTGCGAGTGACGCTTGCTCTGAAGACGGCGTCGAGAGACTCCGTGTCCCTGCATCACCCTACTCGCCCACAAGACTAAGCAACAGCTCCTCATCATCTTTGGCCACATCTCACAACGCAGCTCTGGACCTTGCAACCGCTTCTGCCGCCAGCATGCAGCTGTCCTCGCCGATGATGCCCAACAATACCTCCCTCGCACCAGCAGGTCACCACGTGTATCAGACGCCCCACGGACACGTGCCCGCGAACAACGGACTGGGTTTGTCATCACGGGATGGTGTCAACACCGCTGGGGACATGCAACGGTCCATGCCAAATCCCCACGTCAACGCCGGCAACGCTTCAGGTCAGTCACTGACGGCCTGCAATCCAGCGCACATCAGCCCCGCAAATATGGCGCAGCCACAAGGCATCTGTGTAGGCAACTCGCCCTCCGCTCAGCACTACTATCCCAGTGTCAGCAGTGGAACGAGTGGAGTCACTTCGCCAGTAACACTGGAGCACAGTGGTCTCGTCTACTACCCGAGCAGTACACCGATCACACCGACCTCGCCGTTCCGCGGCAATGAAAAGGATCTCTGGAGTGCTGCGCCACGCGAGACTCCTGCGTCGGAGATGGCGCACGGAGAGATTGGTGTGCCGATGTTGTTTTCACACTCTGCTCCCAACCATCGGACCTCATTTTTGCAGCGCGGCTGCGAGTCAAGTCCGCCATCGCCCCTCGGGCCTGGTCACCCTTTGCGCCTTTCGAGACCCGCTGCCCACCTCGCCTCTCAGCAGTCGTCGCCTTATCACGGTCCCCATCTCACGCGACCACCTCAAGCTATGCTGCCTCCGCATGCCACCCACTTGTCCAGCTCTTTGCAAGGTCTGCCCAGCCAGAACCTCTACACGGGTATCATCACCAAGCGATCCAGAGGTCGTCGCGTTCCAAACAAGCCCGAAGAAGTCAACAACCTGGGCAAGAGCGGAAAGATCTACACTTGCAAAGTGCCTGGCTGTGGGAAATGCTTCAAGCGCAGCGAGCACTTGAAGCGGCACGTGCGCAGTATCCACACGGACGAAAAGCCGTACATGTGCCCCTTTCCCAACTGTTTCAAACGCTTCTCTCGCCATGACAATCTCAACCAGCATGCGCGAGTCCATGCAGGCACAGCACCCGGGGACATCGCTTCGTCGTCCACCTCGTCCATGGGCGGTAGCGTTTCTCCAGCATTCTCGCCGCTGTCGCTCTCTGCGTCCTTTTCCGACCGTAGAGCATCGACGCACTCCCTTTCTAGCTTGCGCCACGAGGACCCGGCATATGGTTGCGACGACGTTGCTTTCTACGACGCCGACGACGCCGACGAAGAGCATCACCAGTCATCCGACTGCGGCGAGCACAAGCCTCAAGGAGCCGACTACGACGTCCAGCACTTCGATCTGGCGTAGTGCGCAGGTCGACGCTTGCGTGCGTTCATGATTGTCTGTGTGTCATCAAACCCAGCACCAGCCCTGCTGGCGCTGCTCATACCCCATCGACTTTGCCGCACAAGATGCCTCGCGATCGAGCCTCACCAAGCTTGCGCCCGATTCACTTCACTGCACCTCGACACTCTATGCTCAGCTGTTCATATCGTCCCTTTCGTCCCTTTCGCTGTGAAGGACATCCATGAATGTTCTTCGCATTCGCCGAGATCTAAATGTTTACTTTGCTCTGATCCCCAGAACCAGATTCCGACTTTGTTTCCCTCTCCTCCTGTACCTCAATACAACCCTCATCGCGCTTCTTGCCCTCTCTTGTCGATCATCCCGCAGCTTTTACAAGATGCATCTGCTCCCCATTCCTCCCCTTTACCCATTCCCACCCCTAGACCGGACAGTCCTCACCTTTGGCTTTCTTCAGTACTCTATTTGGAAATCGGATCTGCTTGTCTTTTCTCGTCCCCCGTTGCTGTCCTCCGACGTGATTCACAAGTGGCCGATTTGATTGCTTGATCAACACTCCGAGTCGATGGTGCAGGTCCCATCACAGGCCGCACTCCGGCTTTTAAGCATGACATTGTTGTGATTGAGCTTGCGTGAAACCAAAAGATTTCTGTATCGTTCAAACACTGCTCTACACATCATCCCTCCAGCGGCACAGACATGGGCTGCCTACGATCCGAATGGGAGCTGCATTCTGAGCGCGATCCACGCATGCGTCATGGTCATCGACCAGAGCAGCGCTTGTGGTTTTCATTCAACCTGCCAGCAGTGCGGTATCAGCTCCAACATCGTGGGCGTGCGCATGCGCCCAGCTGCGATCCACTCCTTTCGGCTGCCCTTCTCGACTCTGTGGAGCGCGACGATTTGAAGGAGACTTGGAAGCTAGCTCTGAGTCGCTCTGCGCGGTTGTCGGCTCCGAAGCCCGGCTCATTGACGAAGCTGCTGTCAGAGCAACATCAGCAGGCGCTTCAGCTGCGTCCATGTGAATGGCCCGAGGTCCATCCTGTCCCTCTAACTTGTTCGGCGATGTGCCCGCTGCCGACATCACCGAAGTAAAAGATGCTAGCGCTTCCCTCGATGCAGCCTGTATGCTCTTGACGGCCGGTCTAGCGGAGGGTGAAATCGCTAGGTGGGGCAGCACATGTGCGTGAAAAAAGTCGCGAGCGATGCTAGCACCCTTTGGAGTTGGCAGTAGGGTTTGACCGCTGTCAGCATCTCAGCAGCACCTCTGTTCGCTTTGCGCAAAGTATCACTCACGTGCTGGTGATAAATTGCACCCACAAGCGCTTCTACGGCCACACCACGGATGGTCCACAATCCAGACTCGAGCTCAGATCCGTCTCGAGCGGCAGTCCATCGCATGACCTCTTGAAGGCGCAGCGCTGCTCCAACCCTCTCGCCCAAAGCTGCTGTGTGCAGCAACTCGACTGATTGGGTAAGGGGAAGCTCTTGCTGAGAAAGGAAGAGCGAGAGGTAGAGATGCATCGCTCTTCGTCCTGTTGCAACGACTCAATTGGATGTCAGTCTCTTGAGACGAGAAGGTACGCAAAAGCAGCCCTGCATCGTTACTCACCCAGAAAACTCAGCCTTCTATTGTGCCCCGCGACAGTCCTACCGGTGAGATCGAAGCTCTCATGGGTCACCGCTTGCGCAGCTACTTCCTCTGGCAAAGGCAGCGTAGGGAAGGACCCCTCAAACCATCTCTGCAGCGCTTCTGCTGTCGGTGCTGGATTGAGAGCTCGCGAAGAAGGTCCTGCAAGCCATTCTATGTGTCGTGCAGGCGACAAATTGACTCGTCAGTATGGATGAGAGGGCAGTAGGAGTGGTTCAATCTGCGTCTTTCTTGGCTGTGACACTCACCATCTCGACTAGCTTGCGGAGCAGCAGATGTCTCCCTCGCGTCCCGACCATCTCTCGTGCTGTACGCTCTCCTAGGTCGCTTTTCTCGCAGCTCATCGTGCGCTGCAGCACTGCTTCGCTGTGATGAGGATGGTGCAGCTGCATCAGTCGCGGATGTATGCAGCAGCCCTCCTCTCTGTTGCTGTTGAGCTCCAACTATGAGGCGGATACCGTGACATCCGGTCGAAGTGCTGGCTGAGGAGCTAGAAGAAGAGCCCAGCTTACGCGAGGCTAGGGCAACAGTCCGTTGCGTTGCTCGGGCCAACATGACGCTCAAATTGTTGGCGAGGAGGCGGAGCAGAAGAGGATGAGGGTGTAGAGTCGTGCTGTGTGAAAGAAAAGGAAGGGACGACGTGCTTTGGAGGGATGACAGGCATCAGACCGTCGTATTGGTAAGAATCGAGAAGGTGTGGGTGGTGGTGTGAAGCCCTGCGCAAAAAGTCTAGACATGCATATGCTCGCGTGGCTTAAGCAGCAGTCGGGCCGGGAAGAAAGTACTCGATCAAGCGCCCTCCCTGTCCGCGAGATGGGGCTTTCCAGGCGAATTGCCTTGGGCCCTCTCTCGGCCGAGCGAAGTGTCCTACGCGTGATGCACTCGACTCAAAAAGGTACCCCGTGCCGCGCCCACCTTCGCGAGTTGCGACTTGAGCGGTGGAGCCTCGGTTCAACCCCAACTCACATCCACACTGTAACTCCTTTGGCACATCGGGGGGGCTTTTGCTGAGCAGGTCAGCGTCTTTATGGAAGCTGTTCAAACATGCTGAGCTAGAATCGGCTCAACGCACGCTTTGCGTTCGATTTCAAAGCAGAGCTCATGGGCTTGGAACACCTTTCGCTACTGGTCCACACTTGTGCAATGCTCTACAAAAGACACGCTGCCTCTAGATATCAGTCGGACTGCACCTTGTCTCGGTGAGCGGTAGAGGCCCGGACAATGTAAGCTCTTTGTTTGCCTGGTTTGTTCATCTGCTAGGTGGAGGCGGCACTCGGCGCTTGTTGAGACCGACACCAGTTTCTGCTGCTGGTGCGTGCGCTGCCGCTAAACCAAGATTGCCTTGAGGGCCAGCTGCAGTGTCTCCGATGTATTTGCGAGCGTCCGACTCGGTGTATGCTGGTGGCCCGCCGAATTGGACCGAGCTAGAAGCCTTGTTGAATGCTGCGCCAGGCATTGCAAATCCTGCATTTGCAAACAAACCACATGATCGGTGTAAGCATTGTAGCTGCGCGGGAGGACAGTCACGTTGCTCACCGTCGTCGCCTTGAGGAGCTACGGGCAGCTTGTTTCGCTGAGAGCTGGTAGGGCTGCTCTGCGCGCAAGACCACGGGAGGCGTCAGGCAAAATCTGCGTCCGGCCGAGTCAGCATGAAGGCAACAACTCACTGGCCTACGCGGATCGGCAAGACTGTACGTCTCTTCCTTTGGCAGAGGCTTGCGTTTGCCCGAACGGAAGCTTTGTTGGCGCTGCGAGGAGTTGATCAGTGGGCGCCTCAGCAAAATGCGAGCCTGAGCTGTGTCGGACTACTCTGCGCACCTTTTCGAGATCGAAAGCATACATTGCTGCCCCAACCCTGTTGGAGATGCTGAAGGCCAGTCCGACGACAGGCACGCTCTCCAGCAGGGCCGCGGTGAGACCAAAGAGACGGTACTCGAACTGTCGCTCCGTGACCTGAAAAAGCGGGCAATACAGCCTTATCAGTACGGCGCCGCAATCTTTAGTGGGGAACGAAGTCAGCTCACCCAGAGTTCAACTTGCAGAGGAGTCATGCGCTTGTGGGCAAAAAGAGGCGAATGCAACTGCCTTCCCATCGACAGGGACCTGATCACGGAGGATGCTATGAGTCCCATGACTGAAAAGGGGAGGATCAGTTGAAGCAAGACATCAGCTCCTAGGTAAGACGCGTACGGCCTGTTGGCAAGAGTCTCACAGGGGATGAAATCCAGAGGCAGCAGCACGACTGCGAGCAGGGAGGCGAATGTGTTAGTCGACGCCAAAGCGACAGCAGCGGGCATATACGAACCTTTGAGCACGAAGATGCGGATCAGAGGAGAGGCGAGCCGCATATATATCGCTTGTTTCTTTGCGTTCTTTTCGGCTTTGGCAAGTGGAGGCTCAGCCCACTCTTCGAAATAAGGGGTCCACCAATCATCGCCCTTGCCTCTCGATCGGACCTGAGAGGCGAATGCATGGGAAGGATATCAGCTCGTCGTCCAGCTAAAAAGGCTGCGCCAGACGCAATGCTCACGGTTGCGGCGTACGCTTCATTGCGACATTCACGTAGCTTTCTTCTCAGCCAGAACTCCATGATGGTGTTGCACTGTCCAAGCACGAACATCATCGCAGCAAAGGTGGTCAAAGAAGGCATTCCAAACCCAAGCAAGCTGGAGTCATTGGAGCCATCCAGCCGATCTGCTGTGCTGATGGTTGACTCGTACATGCTAGTACGCGTTCGTGATATTGATTGGATGAGCTTTGTGGCATCAATTGGCTTCAGAAGCTGAAAGAAACTCACGAAGCCATACCAGTGACACTCGCAGAACCTTTCATGAACCAGGAGACAAAGAGCCTCTGTACTGGCCACGTTACGACGGCCTGCGCAGATCAGGGTTGCCGACACTAGCAGAGTGAGCAAATGTGACATTTCTGGGAGTGGACGTTTCCATCGCGGAGCTCACCCATCCTGCGGCCACTGCTCCAGCTCGCTTGGCAGCTTGAGATGTACGGCTCCACATCGGCTTCCACAAAAGTGGGTCGTGAGCCAGACGATAGGCGCCCACCATGCAATAAGCTGGAGCATGCTACGTCATGAGTACGGCTGGACTCGGTGACATCAGACTGATGCGGCTCAACGTACCTGGCGGCATGTTCAGAAGCTCCTCAGGCATCTTGCCTCTATCTACTCAATATGTTCGCCGAACAGCTAAATTTTGTGGCCACCTTCGGGCAAACGCTCCGCTCCTTGACTCTTTGACTCTTTGAATGGACAAGGCTTAAGAGCTAAGCAGCCATGCACTGCTGTTGTTTCCCGCAGAGGGCTTGTGTGCGCGCTTCTCCTCCAACAATGCTGCGAGGCGAGCTTGCTATCTTGATCGCTCGTGCGTTCCGGCTCGCTTTGAACGCCCCCCGCGTCCATTCTATAGCAAGAGTGATGACGAGATTGAGAGATGACATACAATCGTGAACGACCGAAGAATAATCATCACATTCGAGACTAGTACGCCTTGTGTGGTTGTTTCCCCACAGCCACTGCGCAGCGTTCGCTGAGTTTAGGGATGCGTGTGGAGGACAGGGTCTCTGCGCGCCCACGTGGCGCGCTGTCAGCCGTCACGTGTCTCTCTCCACTCTCTCTCCCTCTCTTCTCTCCCTCTCTCTCCCTCAAAACGCTGAAGACTCAGG